AAAAAAAAAAAAAAACGAACGAATTCGTTCCTTAAATGCTACACGATGCGATCCTTATTATCGTTAATTGTACATAAGAAATTCGGCGGTTGCGGTTTACGTGTATTACGATATTTACGAGTAGTATTTCTCGTTCAATGACGATAACGAACACGTCGCTTAAATTCTAACGATCGCTGATCATTGATCATACATTGACGATCGAGCGTCACTTGAATCGTACGCGTGATGTCGATCACATTATAAAACTCTTTGTTTGGAAGGGGGAAGGGGAGGGACGATACACGGAAGCCACGATAGAAAGGAACGATCGGAGTTACGAAGATTTCGATATAGTTTATTTTCGTAAATAAACGAGATAAGATTTTCCTTTTTTTTTCTCTCTCTCCAATATATAGAATTACATTAATTCGTATCGTATTCCGAAAATAATAAATGGAATTACAGAATTCGAATTAGAAATTAAATAATATACCCACCAATTTCCCCCAAAAATAATTTAAATAAATTTTAAATAATTTTAAGATTCCTTTATCGAATCTACTTGAAAAAAAAAAAATGAATCAAAATTCAAGAAACAATATACATATAATGAATAAAACGATCATTCTTCTCTCATCACAGACATCTGCCCACAGATCCATCCATCCATCCATCCGAACGAATCGTCGTTCAAATATTCCTCTCTTCTCCTCTCGCGACTCTTCGTCCCTCCTCTTCCTCTTCCTCTTCCTCTTCTTTTTTTTCTCCTCGAGGAAGCGGAGTGTCGCTCCCAGATTGAAAAGAGCTCAACTGGTCTCGGTGGTGGCGGCCTTCTCGCTGCCTCAGTAAGCCCTCAGCCTCACCTCCATCTCTGGATCCTGGCGGTGGGTGAGGTGGGTGGCCTCGATGGTGCCCGTAGTCCCCGCCGCTGCCCCCGTCACGTGGTGGCCGTGATGACCGTGGTGATGATGGTGGTGGTGATGGTGGTTCAAGTGTGGCGGCTGTGCGGCCGAGCTCCTGTAAGCCCGTTGCTTCTCGTCAAAATCGCGCACGCGTTGGTTGTAACGCTCGAGCTGGTCCCGGAGTAGGGCGTCCTCTTCGGCGGCGCGTTTCTCGTCATACTCGAGACAACCGACGCCGTCCAACCTCTCGAGATCGATCCATCCGCGCCACATCACGCACACGCCGTTCATGATCAGCCGGGATCTCAGGTGTACCTGGAAACAGAACGGTCGTGCTTGACCACGGCTGGACGTGGTGGGGAACGATTCGAAGGGGGGGATGTATCTCGAGGACGAGAATCGTGCATAAGTATTATTATACATTATATATTGCTTCTCTTTTTGGAAATTAAACATTTTAAAATAGGATAATAGGACGAGCTTTCTTTCCGTCCTTTTCGAGAACGATAAGTAACCCTTTCGCTGCTAAACAGTACTCGAGAAAGATCGTCAGCATTTTTTTTTTTTTGGTGATTTTTATCATTCATTGACAATCGAACGTTACTTGAATACGTACGCGAGGAATATTTTTCATGAACAATCTCGTGATAAAAATACTGATGCTATGTTTCCAGAGGAAGATACACAATTGCTCATCATATCTACAATACGCATCTTGCGCATGGCGACTATAGTCGCCCATGGTGTATCAATGATATTGGTATTTTATGAAGAGCGACTATAGTCAGTCATAGTATATTAATAATATTTTATATAGAGCGATTATAGTCGCCCATAGTATATATGCAGAGCGACTATAATTGCCCATAGTATATCAATGGTATTGGTATTTTATGGAGAGCGACTGTAGTCGTCTGTAGGACGTCAATGGCACTTTATGGAAAATGACTATAATCATAGTATAGTATATCAATAGTATTTTATGTAGAGCGATTATAGTCGCCCATAGTATATATGCAGAGCGACTATAGTTGTCCATAGTATATCAGTGACATTTATATAGAGTGATTATAGTCGCCCATG